TATTATTATTTAGGAGGTTTTATTTAGCTACTTGGTATGTACAGTAAAACAAACCTCTTTAACATTACTTACAGCATTTTGGATAGCTGGCCATCTCCTACAGGTAGCATAAAACTAAATTTCTTCTATTGGGAGGATGTGAGACTAGAGGTCTTTTGAGGTCTGTTTCAATTCTAGGACTCTATAAGGCAGATATTTGTCTTCTTTCATTGCATGTAGTCAGTATATTATGTAGAACTCTTATAACAGGGCTTTTCAATCAGTGGTATGGGTATCACCTGTGGTACATTGGCACCTGGCAGGTGGTACGCGACCATCCTAGAAAAGTGGTAGCGGGGGAGGGGAATGAGCTGAACCGGTGGCAGCACCGCACAAGCCTGAGCGAGAGATGGCTGGAGCTGCAGGGCTGTCAGGGCTCAGCGGAAGTGTCAGGATCAGCGCCAGGCTCCAGCTGGAGCTCAGCGCTGATACTGGCGCTTCTGCTGAGCCCAAAAGATGCGCCGATCAGCTGGAATGTTGCAGCATCTCCAGGGTCTTATGATTTAAATTCAGATGCTTGGCAACTGATTCATATTTATGACAGTCACAGTGTCCCAGGGTCATGTGAAGTGACCAAAGCCTGCTGCAACCACCCAGCAGACAGGGGGAATAAAAACCAAACACCCCCCACCCCACCCCCGCTGCCAATCCTCAACAGAAATGCTCACAACAATGAAGGCCTCGGACAAGAGGAAGAGTGCCGCTGGGTGGGCAGCCAGGTGTCTTGCTTAGCTGTGGCTTGGGGGGCACTTTTTTCAGTGCCATTGTAACTTCAAACAGTCACTAAGCAAACTGTTGTAAGTCGAGGACTACCTGTACTTTATCACTTTTTTCCTTTTGGGGGGGGGGGGTCATCAAGTTTTTGATACCTTGCTAGGCAACTGGTGATACTCGGATATTGCCATATCCTAAAAGTGGTACAATGGGTGAAAAGGTTGAAAAGTCCTGCTCTATAACACACATTTCTGTGAGTTACTTTCCATTAGCAAAAAAGAGGTGGATCCCACCCTCCTGGCAGATTTTAATAGAAAACTAAAGATCTATTGGTATAGCAAACATTCTTTTTAATGTGGGGTCCTTGGTGCACTGATGACATTACCTAGTTTGGTAAGGAAATGTCTGCAAGAAAACAACCAAGCTCAGAGAGCACCAAGGATCCCACAGTTCAAATTATTTTCTTCCGTTCTTTTCAATCTTTGCAGTTTTATGACTTTATATGATCATTGGTTTGCATTTGTGTGTGTGTGTGTGTGTGTGTGTGTGTGTGTGTGTGTGTGTTTGGTAACATTTATTACTTTTATTTTATTTGTCCTGGTTTAATTGATGTTGTTTGTCGTACTTCATTGCTGCACCGTAAACTGGCATAGGGGTTGAATACCTGAGAGATTGTTTATTTTTAAGTATTTATATGCCTGCCCAGTACATTTCGGCAAAGTGGGTTCCCTTCCCATCTCTTCTAATAAATACTGTCATCTTATGGGATCAAGAAAGAAGGCCTTCTATGTTACGCTCCTTGCTCTCTGGAACAGCATCCCTCCAGTGATGTGGACAACACCTTGTGTCCTAGGGCAGTGTTTCCCAAACTTGACAATTTTAAGGCATGTGGACTTCAACTCCCAGAATTCCACAGCCAGCGTTGCTGGCTGTGGAATTCTGGGAGTTGAAGTCCTCATGCTGGATCTGGTGTCAGGCCTGAGGCTGATGTGTTTGTGGGGCCCTTCATTTGGTTTGGTTTGATATATTTTGATTGTTTTAGGCCCAGGTGCCTATGGGGTTTAACTGTTTTATTGTTTTATATTTGTAAGTAGTCTAGTTTATAACAATGAGTGGCTGTAATGAAGCTCATCGTCACATTCATCACCATCATCATTTGCCACTGGCAGGCCTGCCAGAAGTGTGTGGATATAAATTTTAAAATAAATAGTTGTATATATTTTATACACACATCAGATAGGTACACATTACATCTGCTCATACAAGAGATATCATTATATTATTACTTGTCCCTGAAGTAATCTCTTTTTTTTGGTGGGGGAGTTTAAAGTTGTTTTCATCACATCACTAAAGCAATCCTATCGGATGATTGGCTCATGACCCTTGCTTCTTAAAACCAAAACATATACTTAAGAATAATTTGAAATAAATATGTTGGAGATCATTAGGTTCAATAATAGAAGCTACTATTTTAAAGAGTTAGCTTTGCAGGTATGTGGACTAAAAGATCATTTCAGTTTACCCAGATTTAAGTGTCATTTTATCCTAATTTTGAAAATGCCTATAAAATTTCATAATATTTGTATTTAAGCAAAATATGAATGCATTGTCTAAAGCCTATCACTTAAACATAAATGGTTTAAATAATTGTTTCATGTCTATGGGGTTAAAAAAAAATCTTACTGTATTCATATCTTGAGATATATAAGGAAGCAAAATAGAGCATCGCGTATCTGTAAGCTTAATCAGGATTTGACTGATGACATTAATAAGCTTGCTCACATTAAGTTTATAAAGTGTTCTTTAATTTGAAGCATACTTTATTTTGTAGCACTTTTTAAGTTGCAGAATCCATTTGGTAATCCTGCTTCTTGAAATAAGATAACTCGTTGAAGTGAGACTATTTCAATTAGTACAATCTTCTGGGTCCATTAAAAAACCAAGTCAAGAGTATGCACAGGTGTAAAGTACAATCTGATGATTGCAATCAAACTGTAGAAACAGGACACATGACTCCACCATCATTTAAATTCAAATGTCACTTTCTCCAATTCAAACCTGGTTGGCAACCCTTTTGGTAACCTATTTAGAAAGCTTCCTCTTAAACACATAGCTTTCAATTTGGAGTTTGTATATAGGTATGGGAAAATTATTTAAAAAGTAAGATGATTATTTTATAATAATGTTTTATTTCAGGGGGTAGGATAAATAGCAATAATCACAGAGTTTCCAATATGCCAGTGGCAGCAGGTGCTATTGTATAATAATATAATAATCCTGTCTTATTATCCTTTTGAGTACTGTAAAACTTGGAAAGCAAAATCTGGATGACTGCAACCATGGTGGAAAGTAGAAAAAAACCAGAACTGCAGGAATAAGAGTACTTTAAAGGCTGTCATTCTGCAAAACCAATGCAAAACCATTTTCTAAAGAGAAAAGATTTTAGGAATAATGGGCATTTGAAGCAAATGAAATCTGGCATATTTTCCTCTCTTACTTGGGACACAAAGATAATTAAGATAATACTATTACTGGCCCAGCTTCTGTGGGTGGAAGTAATTAAGCTTTCATAGATCTACATTAGACAAATGGAAGAATACCATTACAGGCATATTCTTAATAGCATCAAAAAATAATCCAAGAAAATATATCCACTCATTTGTTTCTTATTCCATGGGATATACCCATCAAAACCTATCTGTATATAATATGTTTGTTTGATGAATGATTGGGTGTATTATAAAATCAATAATCTTTGAAAAAGTTGATGATCTGTGGGACAACTTATTTTATAATAAGAGCTCCCTAGAGCTTTTGCCCAACTTGGCACCCCTCCTAAAGTATTGCAATTACAACATCAGATATCTGTTGAGCAAAGACAGCGGTCATTCTATTTAGGTATTCTGGATTTTATAATTCTATCACACTTAGAGTAAACCAGTTCAGAGAAGGGTTTCTGGAGATGGTATATAACAGCTATGGTTCAGCAGCCAGCAAACCTGAGGAAAAGCAAAACAAATTTAAGTGCTGGAAACTTGATTGCCTCTAAGATGCCAGATAATGTTGGTTCCAGCATGATTAAGAACTGAAATCTCAAGGCTATTTTTTCAAACTTCTTTTAAACTTCCATAAAAATATAATAACTTTCTTAAGGGAGACTTGGAGATATGTTCTGAGAAAGAAGATGAACAAAATGTAAACTGAGTTCTACTAGTTGATCCCTGGCTGATTTGCAGTTTACCAGTAGGAATCTTTCTCTTCTAAATTAAGCTGCAGAAATTAACAACGCTTGGGGTAACCATGAGGGGATTTTTGTAGAACTGAAAGTTCAGTCTGGTTTCCAAAAATAAATTCTTAGGCTCAGAATGTGCTTAAAGACACCCTGTTCTTTAACTCGTGTGTATGTCTTTACAACTGACTCTGGTGGCTGGATCTTAGGGCTTTTGGTAAAAAATAAAGTAGATTCAAAAAGGCTGTTCTCCTTAGTTCTAAATGGCTTGTAAGTCACTTACCTGGCATTGAACATGACGTTAGTACACACCTAACATTACACTTCTTCCTACAGCCGGAACTGATAGAGAATAACTGAGAACAACTGGCAAATTATCTTTTGGGAAGAATTTTACTTGCCTCTATATGATTTTCCCAAGATAAATATTGTTTGACTGAAAGTCAATAAATAAAATTTGGCAACTTCTGTATAAGACAAATTCTCTAACAGATTTCTCTGGAAAATGATAGAATCCTTCCAATGAAAGGGACCGCACATTGTTGCATGATACCAAAAGGCCATTTATTTGTTTCAAAGCAGCCATTATAGTCCAGAAAATTTAATTGACTAATTGATTTCAGCATTATTATATCAGTTTCACTGGAGCTCAAGGTGGTTTTATCTTAAATCTGATAGCTCTTACATTTTCAAACTGGCAACCCAAAGGAAGACAGTTCAAGACTTACACAGTGAAATCTTGTTTCTAGTAGCCCAAAATAAACCCAGTTAAATTTAAGCTTAATTTCCAGGAAAACCCATCTATTAGTTGTGTGGTTACACAGACATCTAGAAGTTGTTGATCTGGTTTTTAAGAATCACCTGGCTGTTAAACCAAGCTTACCCCTTGCCAAATGAGATGTGTAATGAATTGGGATCTCCCATGTGGCAAACTGATGCTGGCAGAAGAAGACACAGAGACCAGAATGGGACAGAGGTCACACCACTGATGGGGGAAATATTAATCACTTCATCCTACCCTGAAGGCTCCCTGATTGAGTCTGCTGTGTACCTGCTCTGCTCCTCCAGGCTTCGGTTCTCAGCTGTTCGCCACTCTGGCATGGTGCTGGCACACAGCACCACCATGGAGACGATGACGAATAGGATGGAAACGGTGGCCAGGATCTGGGCGGCCACCGACGAGGTAGGGTCCTCGAAAGTTCTCCTCATCCTTTCCAGCCATTTCTTCTCCCCGGCGCCAGGTGGGGCCACAGCATCCCCGCTCTCCTGGCCCTGGGGAGGCTGGGGCTGGCCGCTGCTTTTGCCACTGCCACTCCCGCCTCCGGAGGGCTCCGTCCGGATGTCTTCTGCCGAATAGAAGGTATAAGTATCGGACATGCGGTCGTCTAGCCGGCGCTGGCAGCAATAGTCCAGATGGGATCCCTCCAGGCCCCAGTAGATCATCTCGTTGTAGAAGGAGAGTTCACACATGTGGGGCACGAAGCGCAGATGGCCGTAGCGCACATAGAGCAGGATAAAGCCGAAGGCTTCGGAGTGCCGGTCGAAGAAGTATTCGTTCCGCTCGCGGTCGTAGTCGTCGCACACTTCGAGCACGTCTTGCTCCGACAGGCAGCCGTGCAGGCGGCTCACCCGCTGGAGGGGAAAGTCCTTCAGCACCTCCCGAGCGAAAGAGTAGCGGGTGCCCCCCACGTTCAGCACCACCACCGGCGGGCCACCCCGGCCAAAGGTCATGGCTTGGGGGGGGCAGAATCAGAAGGGGGGCGCGGGCGGGAAACGGTGGGTCCGGCTGCCTTCAGTCCCCGGTGAGCGGGGCCAGGAAGGGCGGGGTCCGGCTGTTCCGCCCGGCTTCTCCTCGGGCAGGCGGACGCTCTCCGGGTTCTCTCGGTCTCTTCACCCCCCCTTCCCGCCCCCCTTCGCCGTCCACGAGGCGGGAACGGCGGCTCTGCTGTCCCGGTAAAGCGAAGAGCGCGCGGCGGTGCGCCTCCTCGAACAACCCGGAGTCTTGGCGACGCCTCTGGTTTTAGCGAGAGGTGGCTGCGGGCGCCTCGCTGCGCCCGGACCACGCGGCTACCGGAGTTCCCGGGATAGCGTGTATAGAGGAGCTGCCGCCGCCGCCTCCTCCGAGCAAAACCCGGCCGGCCGTGGAGGGCATGGCTTAAGAAGGTGAGCTAAACTCCTGCGAAGTTGGGTCGGTTCTGGGTTCCTCCGCTGCGCGCAACCCGACTTTGCGCCGCACGCCACCAGTTCTGACAGCGCCGCTCTCGGGCTGAGGCGCCCAGCGCCTTTCGGAGCGGAGACGGAGGCGGTGGGGAAGAGACACGCCTCTTCCCTCGCTCCCTCTCTCCCGCCCTTCTTCCCTTTCCAAGCGTCGGAACGAGCGGAGATGCCTCTTTCCGACTCTGCTGGAAGGAGAATAGAAGCACCTGGAATATTCCCTTTGCTTTTCACTCTTGATCAGTCAAGCGCCTGGCTGAAGGTCAGATTTTCTACCGACCAGTAGAGATTTCCGGTCTTGCTCCACAGAGTTTTCCTTCTTTTCTTCCCTCCTCAACATTCTCTGGTCTCCCATTTGGGAATGTTTCGTTCGCCTTGACTGAAAAGTTGCGATTTCTTTCTCAGACCAGCCTGTTATGAAAGAATTGACAGGTACACCTCCACATTTTTTTATATATTTTTGTTATTATTTTGGTTTGGTGGCTCTCACACATTTATATCATTAACTGATTATAAAGCACTTTTAATCCTTCTGGACTTGGATACGCTTCTGGAGAAAAAAATGGGAAGAAAAGAATAATAAATACAGTTCTTATTTTCTTGTGGTGCAGAGTTGGACAAAAAAGCCCTTAGCAAATGTAAGCATTACATTCATCTAACACATGCTTTAAAAACTAGTGAAGCAGAAATATTTGATCACTGCCTACTTGTTTATTTAAAGTTTCTTGGAATCAGATGGCATATGTACTATGTGTGTTTCTGTATAACCACTACTGATACACATCATTTGAAGCTTATTATTATAAGATTCCCCCCCCCACACACACATATACATTTTAACCTGACAACATTATGAAGAGAAGCATATAAAGTCCCCCTAAGTTATAGTAACTTAGCTGTCCCTTTAAGTACTTTCTACCCTTGAAACATTTTTTATGTATTTTGGTTCTTAGGTTTTCTTGATTTCTGATCTTGCTACTTTTCATCATTTTGCCCTTTAATAGAAAGGAAACTATATTTGTATTCCCCTTTAGCTAATTGAAACCATAGTCAATATTTACTATAACCCATTTCATACAGTGTTTGTGGGAATGAAAAAAGGAGGGACTACGTTTAGAGATGGAACACAATAGTTTGTATGGAGGTGGTCCAACTTTCAGTTTCTTCCAAGAAAAGTTGAAAATGTTCCCAGTTATGAAACCTTGGAGAGCTGCCAGTCAAGGTTACAAGAACTGAATTAAGAAAACCAAAAGTCTGACTGAGCATGAGGCAGCTCCTTATATTCAGTGAATTTAAGGAATGACATGATATCTGTCATTGATAATTGGCAAGTAAATGGCTTTGCCATGCAGTCAGATAGTTTTTCCACTTGAGACATGTGACAAGGGTCATTTTTATATTTAGTTTATTCGCAACAAGTCAGAGCAGAATCCACATGTCTTTGCACTTTAGCATAAAATCCATTAGCCATTTCCATTTCCAATTGGACTGATGCCCATTTATCTTCTGAAATATACAATTGTGTTTAGCTGGTATGTCTATAATTGACACAATGTATTTGGAACAGATTTAAATAATAAAATCTTTATATGCATAATTAATCCAAATACACTCAAAATATTGTAAGTATTCAAGAAATCTTTGAGTCTATTTTGTATTGGTTGTGTTTGTATTGTGATCCAACATCTGAGAAACTGCTCAAATACAAATGCAGACAAGATTAGAAAGAAAAATGAAATATATCATTAATTTTTCTTTTATTTTTAACTATGATTTCAAGAATGATAATCTGGAAAAAAATGTATGCTAGTGGAATTAAATCAGATCAGGTTTAAAGAGCTTTCTACCAAATGACTAGAAATAATGACCAAGGTATTAGAGTATAATTTATTCAATTTGTGATGAAGACAGCATCTAATATTTTACAAATTACTAATAATTACTGTTTTGTATAAACATCCAGGTTGGACAAAGAAGTTTACTCGGTTTTTAAACTGCCTTTAATGCCTATTAAAGGATGCTGTTTATTAGATCATTTTACAGCATTGTGTTTTGGTCAAATGTTATTCTCTACGGCTGATCTGATGACGTTGAAGGCTGAAGACAGTTGGGTCCCCCTCCTGCCTTAGTAGGAAACTTAACATAATCTACTAATGCTCCCTAAAGAGGGGTCTCTCCTACAGTTTGAAAGCATGCAAATGCAAGTAGATAAATAGGTGCCATTTCACTGGGAAGATTACTGGTTTCCCTGCACCTTCGGCTCAGCTAGGAAACAGAAATGAACATAGCCCCCCTAGAGCTGGACATGACTTTCTCTCCTGTCTTAGTCTACTAAGACAAAATCTTTTAACTGAATCCCTTCAAAATATATCTTGTCCTGTCCCTGCTCTCAAAATAGCCCAGGCAGCATGCAGGGTCAAACAGTGTACACAGTGTGAGATCAAACCATATCCCTCTGGAAGAAACGCTTTGAGTAGTCAAAATTTCATGCTTTGTTGTATTATGTCCGCTAGAGGTCATAGCTAAAGTCATTTCATGTGTTCCTTTAAGCGCACATTGATTTTCTGAGGAGATGGGAAAGACCTCCCCCTAGGTTCACAGTTAATTTTATTCCTTCAAATCTCTCCATTCCTTTTCCAGAAAACCTCCTTTTGCTCAATGTATTTGGGTCCAGAGAATTTTTTTTTAATAAAATGACTTTTCAAGTAATGTTTAAAATGAATTGCATGCTGATATTTTACCTTGTATCTAGTTTCTTTATTGCTAACATAAAACTGAACTCAGCAACAAATGTTGTGCCCTAATATTCTGCCTGTGTTTAGGGAGCAAAATGTCAATTATCAAATAGACAACATTTGATAGTTTTCCTCCCAGTTTTTTTTTGGGGGGGGGAGGTGTTTATTAATTTATTCATCAATAATTTTTGGGAAATGGATGTTCAGTAAAGACTGTCCTATGTTTTTCTAGCCTAATATTCATTTCATCTTTTTTCAAAAATTCTGTATTCTGAGAAATATCCTGTTTATCCACTAGCACTTTATTTTATAAACACACCTAGTACTTAATTTGGGGATTTTATCCTTAGAGGGCAGCAGTTTTTCTAGCATGTCAATCAGCCTGAATTCTTTCTTATGCTTTCCTTGGCAGGAAGTTTGTTCATTTTTATCAGTTGCTGCTAAGATGCATGGTGTTTGTAAATCCTTGTTTAGGCATTCTGATACTTTTCTTGTTCTAGTTACATCATTTATAGTGCATTCATTACTTTGATGAGCTCTGTATGAGGGTTTGATATTTGATTTATAAGTTGCATCGGATCTGTTATTTTGCCAGCTCTTTTCATTAGAGATCTAATTATTCATCTCTGTTGTTGTTGTTAAGGTAATTGTCTGTCTTCTTTTTTATACTTAGTGGTTTAAATATGCATTATTATCTTGCTCTGCCAGACCATCCAGGGATGATAACCCATCAGCCATGGTAACAAAGATCTGTATGTAAGGAGGAGAACCAGTATGAATACATTGCTGTTCATGCCAGACCACAGATTTTGGTGTTCATTTTAACATGCCCAAATTCTGAATGTCATTTCATCAAAGCAGTTTTAATTCAGGCAAATGCCCTAGGCAGGTATGAAGTAGAGTCAGCAGCAGACAAAGTCCTCTTGCCTTTATTATTGCATAAAGATCTTGCAATTTACTTTATGTGGATATAAAAATGAAATCCTGGTACAAAAATGGGCTATTGAATCAGCAGCAGTATAAAATAAAAGAGGATGTGAAACCTGGAAAATCTTAGCTTAGAGGCTAGTTTCCCCCTCCTAGCATACTTCTCTTGGCTGGTTGCCTAATTCTAAAGAAACGTCAGCCTCAGTCCATTAAAGCTATGCTTGTAAGTCTTTTGAATAAAGTTAACCACTACAACTCAAGAAGCATGGGAAATTTTGAAAAGTGAGATAATAAAAGCCCAGTCTAGCACAATACCAACAAAGAAGAAAAATAACAGCTCTCAAAAGAAACCAGCATGCCTGCATAAAGAATTCTCTGATAAATTGAAAGACAAAAAGGACAAGTATAACAAGTAGAAAGAGGGGCACATAACTAACGCAGAATATCAGCAAAAAGCCTGAGCCTGCAAAATGAAGTGAGGAAAGCTAAGGCTCAAAATGAACTAAGGCTTGCAATAAAAGTCAAAAATAACAAAAACAGCTTCTTTCAGCATGTAAAAAACAAGGAAAAAGTCAAGGAAATGATTGGCCCATTAGGGGAGAAAGTGGCAAGAAGGTGACAAGCAACAGGGAGAAAGCAGAACTATTTAACTTGTTTTTTGCATCCGTCTTCACACTAAGGGAAAAAACAGCCCAACCCATTAAAAACAGTACCGTAAAAAACAGATTAGAAACATAAGTTAAGATAGGCAAGAAAATGGTAAGTGAGCTCCTGTCCAGTCTAAATGAGTTCAAATCACCAGGAACAGATGGATCAAACCCCAAGATTCTGAAGGAACTGGCAAATGTGATCTCAGAACCACTGAACTATATATTTCAAAGATCTTCGAGCACTGGGGAACTACCAGAGGACTGGAAAAGAGCTGATGTAGTTCCCATTTTCAAAAAAGGAAAAATAATGGATTCAAGAAATTACAGACTTATCAGCCTGACCTCAATACCTGGGAGGATGCTGGAAAAGATAATCAAACAACGAATCAGCGAACATCTAGAGGCAAACAAAGTCATTACCAAAAGCCAACATGGGTTTGTCAAAAATAGATCATGCCAGACAAATCTTAACGCATTCTTTGACCAAGTGACAAAATTAGTAGACCAGAGGAGTGCTGTGGATATAATTTATTTGGACTTCAGTAAGGCATTTGATAAAGTAGATCACAATCTACTACTTGATAAGATAGAAACATGTGGGTTAGACAGCATCACCACCAGATGGATTCGTAGCTGGCTGATCGGCTGTACTCAGCATGTAGTCCTCAATGGAACTGCATCTACAAGTGAGTAGTGGGGTGCCCCAGGGCTCTGTTCTGGGCCCAGTGCTCTTCAACATCTTCATCAATGATTTGGATGAG